GTTCTTTAGTTACTCTTTTAGCTTTTTTGCTCTTTGAGGTCCTGCCACCCAACTCCCAAATAAATCACACAGAGTCTCCTTATTACTTATGAATGACCAGCCTTAGTTTGTCTTATTTCTGGCCAGCTCTCCTTCATTTAAATTTTCCTGGCTACCTTTGTTCCTGGGATTTTCTTTTTCCTACTTCTGTAAGTCTTATTTTCACTCTTATTCCATTGCTCCCTGTGTGGTTGTGTGCCTCGGTAGCTGGCCTCTAGTGTCCTCCTCTCCTTGTTCTCTTGCTCCAAGAGTTTCCCTAACCTCACCATAGTTCTCAGTCATTCCTTAGTTTTTCATCAGAAAGTCATGTCCAGCTGGACCAGATTTGCACCATCCTCATTAGCTATCCTAGATCACTGATCCACCTAAATCTGGCTAGTAGTGAACCCTTGGGGAGTCTGATATAGAGAGATGTGTGTCCTCCATGTTCAAGCTCTTGCACAGCAGAGGGTGAATATAACTTATGACTGGAAAATTACCGACGTTGTGAAGCTGTTGTTAGCCCAGCTAGAGAACTCTTTACCTATATTGTACTTCTGACTTGACTCACTCTCTGTCTCCTACTAACTCTCATGAGAAGGACTCTGGTCCTGAACCACATTGAGTTGTACTTGGTGTGTGAGACTGTGTGTGTGCTGGTATTTGAGGAATAGAGGTGGAGACTCGGGGTGATGTGGGTACATGTGTGGGTCTTGTTGCAATAGTCATGGGTCTATCTGTAGTTAGAGGCACTTATCACATGGAGGTAAGCACGGAGACCATGTTCCTAAGGACACACTGTATAAGTGACAGGTGTCAGGTCCTCAGATGTCTAAGCATAGCTGTGAGACTGTGAGATTATGAGGGGCTGGCACTGCTGTCAGTGGTGACTGAAATCACCCACATTTCCAGGCCCAGCATGTTCATTTCAGTCATTCCCCAGAGGACACAACATAGATCCCTGCATCTTAGCTTGCAGATCCCACACAAGCCCCAACTAAATGGGATTTGCACAATTGGGTAGAGAGTGGATATTGTCTATGGTGCCTTCCAATGTAAGACAGACAAGGTGAATACCACTTATCCAAAAATGCTTGGCATAGTTTGAGAATTTAAATCTTGCTTAAATATTTGGTATATATGCATATAGATAATATCTTATGGGTAGGGCTCAAGTATAAACATGGATAGATGTAGCATTCATATAATTGCACTTTACATATGTAGCTTAAAGGGTAACTTTATAAACTATGGATAATTCTACATATGATCCTTTCATGATGTTGAGTTTTCAAGGTGAATTATCAAGTCTATGGTCAAAAGGTTCTAGATTTGGGAGCATCATAGAATTGGAATGTTTGGATTAGGCAGGTTCAACCTACAATTCACAAGTCAACAGCATCCAAAGTGCTGTAAGGATCCAAACAGCTACTGATGGTCTCAGTGTGCAGAGTTCCAGACAGGAGCTAAGGCAAAGAGGTGCTGGGATCACACAGTCAGCCAGGACTCATGCTGTCTGTGTCAGCAGACACATGTGTTCCCTGTAAGTAATCTCCTTTGATCTTGACTGTGCTAACTACAAAATAAAACCTTAGCAACAAAGAATAATTGCTTTAAAAACTCTTCTTTACCTTGAATACAATGTAGTCCCTTAATATAGTGTACGCTTACCTTGACATACAAAAAAACCTGCTGTGTTCCTACTATGCGTAGGGAAGTGGTGGGAGTAGAGCATGCCCCTTAAATTCAATACATTGATTTATTCATTTATTTGTGTGTTTGTGGGATGTCACAAATGTGGATGCCAGGGGATAACTTTTCAGAGTCTGTACTCTCCTTCCACCATGTGGGCCCAGGGATTGAACTCAGGTCATTAGGTTTAGCAGTGGGCACCTTTCCCCTCTGAGCCATCTCACTGGCCCTCAAGCCCCTTTTATGGAGAGGGTCAGATGAAAGGATTTTTGTTTCAGGGACATAAAAACAGGTGTTCAGGAGCAAGCACTCATGTCAATCAATGAAAGTCACTGCTGACAACTTAGCAAGGAGTGGGTGTGGCTGTGCTGCTGTAAAACTCTTCCCAGCAGCAGGGGGTCTGTTTCTAACCTGGTCTGGTTAGTTTGCTGATCCAGTCTAATGTGTGGGCAGAGGCCTGAGCACAGTACACCCCCTCCCTGGAGA